TTCCTTCTGTTGTGCCCTCTTCCTTCTGGCCTTCCTTCATCCTGGACTGGCTCACCTTTGCAGATAAAAGAGAAACATTTCTGAGCCCAGATTTAAAACAGCATTTGCTTCTCCCAGTCAATCTACAGCAGTGGTTCTCAACCTTTCTAATGCTGCGACCCCATAATACAGTTCCCCATGTTGTGGTGACCTCCAACCACTTATACATCACCAGGTGCCAGGGGCGTGGCCAAAGAAAAGGGGGAAAAATGGCGGACAGCCTTGTTTGGCGACCCCCGTGAAATGGTCGTTCGACCCCAAATGGGGTCCCGACCCACAGGTTGAGAACCACTGAACTACAGGGAACAACAAGCTGTCTAGCAGATGAATAAAGGAAAGTTTGTGTGGTTTCCCTTCCTGCTTTTCGTCATTAACTCTCCTGTTAAAAAATCCTTTGAAAGGGTTGCATTGAAACTTAATTTGTCTCTGGGCAACAACATTTGAAGAGGTGGAGAGCTTAAATCCAAATCCTAGTATCTGCCTATGCCATGTCTACCTCCAGATAAATTATCTGTTGCTGCTTCCTCCTGGGAGTTAGGCCATGCAATCATTTTCTGGTACCAGGGTGATTATAATAGCTAGTCCTGCTCCTTGTGGTCTTGTTTTTGCCAGAAGCCACAGCCAATTAACTTTCTAGCTTTGTTTCTGCTAGATATTCTGTAAACAACAGCAGCTGGTGGGTAGATCTGGATGGAAACCCAGTACCAAAATTCATTCCTTGGCGGATTGGATTTTGTTTTATTACAGGAATCCTTAAGCAGCCACTGTGATGCCTATGCTGTTGGCTGATACAGTTTATTAACACCTCCTTAGATAACAGTAGCGTGAATCCAAAAATGCTCTTTCTATAGTGGAAACTGCCTTCCCATTATTGTTCAACTAAAGTGAAATGCAGAGAGACTGTTTTCCATATTTGAAGTCTTGCACACTTGTTTGCATAGAGCTGTTTGTTTCTTTGTGGGATTTCATTTCCTAATGGATTTCGTCATGCTGGATAATAGTGGTTAGAGTATTAAACTAGGCCTGAGAAAGCCATGTTCTGAACCTCATGAGTGACAGTTCTTATGAGAATAAAATAAAATAGAGAGCATATGGCTTTCAGAAAAGCTGAAGCAACAAATACTGTATATATTTTAATATATTTGTTTTTAACACTCTGACAGTAGACCCTAGAGTATGGATTATAAATACTGGCAAATAAAACTTGCTTTTTAAAATGTTACCAGCAATGTGTAAAAAACTGGCATTGTGTAGAAAGCCTAGGAAATCTATAGAATGTGTGACTTTTTAGGCAAAGTATGAAATATTTGTATTATTTTAATACGCTATATACTTTCTCTAGGCATTATGCAGAATGACAAGAACTGTTCAGGCAAAGTTTAAAAAGAGAGTCATAAAAAGGGGTAAGGTTAGGATTAGGATTAGCGTAACCCTAACCCTAACCCTTTATTGAAAAGAAGTATATGAAAATGAAAAAAGAAATGCAGTGTAAAATACTGGATTTTCTTATTGAAAAGAAAGAAGTAAACAGCACCATTGACCTGTTTTAACAAGGAAGGCTAGAATGACGTTTTAGTGGGGGTATTTTATACTTTGCCAGTTTGCCTTTTGGCATTGCATAGAATGGAAATGTGTGAAATATTAAGCACTTCATACCTTGATGTCCCATTTTTGGCATTCTATAGATTTCCTCGGCATTCTATAAAATGCCTAATTTCACACATTGACAATAACAAAAACATTTTAAATTAGCTATGCATGGAGATACACTCCAGCAGAAAACTGCTTTGTGCCTTAGTTGTTAGTACCACTTTTCCAATGAGGAATGTTTTTCACATTCTGTCATTAAGATTTGCTTTCCAATATTGAATTAGCCTTTTTGGTGAAGAGATAAACTGAGATAAACAAACAATAAAGTGTACCTAGAAAATGGAAAGGGGGCCAGATCAGAAAAGAAAGTAAGTATCACAAACCTGAAAATACTAGCAATTAATGAACTCCTTTTTTTTTTTGTTTGGTTCGATACTCTTCTTCCAATGAAAAAAATCCACCAGGACTTTGTGAAAAGCAGGTTAAAGAGCCAGGACTGAAGCTTGTGATTGGAAACTTTACTACTTTCAGTGAGTTGAAACATCTAGGAAAAATGAACGTCACCTTCAGGTTCATACTGAAGAGCCAGGTGAACGTGCTGTGGGAACACAGGCACTGAGTTGAATGTCAGCTCCACGAGAAGCCAACTTTTTTACAGAATAACAGAGTTGGAAGGGACCTTATAGGTCATCTAGTCCAACCCCCCCCCCACCCAAGCAGGAGACCCTACATCATTTCTGACAGATGGCAGTCCAGTCTCTTCTTGAAAGCTTCCAGTGCTGAAGGATTATCTATTTATCTATTTATTCAGCACACTGACTTCTCAATCTGATATTAACATCTTGGAAGATTCTAGAGCAGTGGTTCTCAACCTTTTTAATGTCGCGACCCCCTCCAACCGGTCATAAGTCGAGGATTAAACCGGTCATAAGTCGAGGACTTTCCCTGCCTGGGAGCGCTGCGCATGCGTGGTGCCGCCCCCTGCGCCGGTCGAGGTTAGCTGGCAAGCGGCAGAGACGGAGCAGGCCGACCACCGGCTGGGCCACCAGCTGGCCCAGCCCAAGGGAGGTAAGGCACTCGCCGGAAAAGGGGAAAAAATGGCGGACAGCCTTCCTTGGTGACCCCATGAAATGGTAGGTCGACCCCAAATGGGGTCGCGACCCATAGGTTGAGAACCACTGATCTAGAGCAAATAATAGTGAAATGGTGCTGTAAAAATCTTGGAAATAATTCCAAATCTTGGAAATAATTACCAAAGTCAGTGTGGATTTGTTGACAGCAAATCTTGCCAGACTTATAATCATTTTGTTTTTTATCTGGCACGTTCTTTATAGATCGTAGAAATAAAATATAAACTTATGCATTTTGACTTCAATAAAGCATTTATGTAAAATCTGCATTATGTGCTAATTGGCAAGCAAAGTAAATGTGGTTCTGACAATTAAGTTCATCCATAGCCAGCTTGAAAAATGTTTTCAGAGAGGGTTTATTAATAGTTGCTCATCAAATTGGAGAAAAGTATCAAACAGGACCCCACAAGTCTCAGGTCTTCTCTTCTGAGCTCAAAGGGTCTAGGACAGGGGTAGTCAACCTTGGCTCTTTTATGACTCGTGGACTTCAATTCCCAGAATTCCTGAGCCAGCTGTGCTGGCTCAGGAATTCTGGGAGTTGAAGTCCACGAGTCATAAAAGAGCCAAGGTTGACTACCCCTGGTCTAGGACAATTCACTCTAACCAACTCAACACAGGACAATTCACCAAGGGACAACTCGCTGCAGGACAATTTAACAATTCAACTCAATGCAAGATAACTGTGCTCTAGACCTATTCTTCTCTTAATATTATTAGGGCAACCATCTGCCTCTTCCTCCTTTCTTAGCTTTATTAAAATCGTTAGCACATGACTCTGATTCCTAGGAGACCCTGCGCCACTTGGGAAAACCGCCTAGGCAGAAGCCCAGAGAACCAGAGCTGTCTGTGCTGAAGTTGCGGGCCATGGTTGTGCCAAGGTCTGTTTAACTAAACCAGGCCTGGGCCTTCTGCTCTCCTTGCCAAAGCCAGCCCAGCTTAAGGGAGGTGAAAGTTCCCACCAGCCCACACTCCTTCTCCAAAGGCTTTCTCACAATTAATGTGCATTGGTAATCACATTATGTAGGGTTTTTTTAAATTTGTTTTGTTCCTTTGAGCCAGTGTTGACTCCTGATGATAGCCTGGACTGATTTCCTGCAGTTTTCTTGGCAGGGTTTCCGAACAATTGCCTCTTTTCTAGGGCTTAGAGAAAGTGTATGGCTCAAAGTCACCCCACTGGCTTTATGCCTGAGATGCAACTAGAACACACGTTTCCCCAGATAGTAACCTGATGCCTTAACAACTATGTTAAACTGGCTCTCTAATAAGTAGATAATGCAATTGAGTTAAGTTATTTCTTATGTGCCAAATACCTCACAATATCAAAGAGGAGTCAGTTATGATTGCTTTGCTGCTGAAATGTAAACCATTGTCTCACATGATTTGGGCTTGTCTCATAATTGTTGTACTTTGGGTCAAAATCCATAGATATGTGAACAAGTCTGCAGATTAAGGTCACCTATGTTCTTTCTATTACTTCTCCAGTAGTTGGAATCTAACCAAGCATGGATCTTTCATGTATGGAGAGTAGCCAGAAAGAATTTCATAAAACATTGGATAGATAAATTTATTTAGTTTAACATTAGTTTTACATTTTTAAAATTATTTAGAAATTTGAATAGGTACAGTATATGTAATTTTGTTAGCTAGACAGAGCCATTGGAATGGATGGCATAAGTTGTATAAAGAAACATTTACAATTAATTTGTGCCAGTAGATTGCCAGTATGTACCATTTGTCAGTAATTGCTCTTACCTCTTTGGAGTACTTTCCACTAATTGTATCCTTTTCAGGCATATTTTTTGTACACAACATCATGCATATGTTTCATTTTTTCCTTTATATCTAGTCATGCTAATTTGCTTGTTTAAAAGCTACTTCATAGATGGATGTGGCATTTGTTCTCTTTTAATGTAATTCTTTCTCTTCCCCTCTAAAAGTCTTCAACTTAGTTCAGAATTTCTGTCCTTATCTGTTTGTCTTTTTACTGTTGCAAATTAAAATGATTTCCAGATATAAAATCAACAATCCTTTTCTTCATAAATTAGATGTGACACCTTGGCTGAACAGGGATCTAGATTAGTCCCTCAAGAGAGTCATGAATTAGTCTAATGCTGAAAGCGCTAGCCGGTAGCTTTAAGAAGGGTTATCAAATATTTAGGAACAGAATTCTTTTAATGTCACTTCTAATATCTTGTGTGCTTTCTTTTTTTTTCTTTCTTTGCTCTCTTATTTCTCACCTAGTCAAAAGCTCTAAGAGAAAAATGGCTGATGCAGGGAATTCCTGCAAGTTCTCCAGCCGAGGAAGAAGCCAGGAAGAGACAGTCAGAAGAAGATGAGCTAAAAGTGAAAAACCTTGAAGGCAACATCCATAGGTAGGTCCACATCTTTTATTTTTACCTTAAGATATATTGCCCTCTTGTTACTGTCAGTGCAATGTAAAACAAAACAGTGTGATGTAGAAACAAAAATTCTTGGAGATTAAAAATCAAAGTCAAAGTTAGTGACTTAGTGACATTGTCTATGAATAAACTAATTATTTCATTGGGGGATGAATAAAGAATAAATATGATATCACTTTTATTAATTATATTTATAATCTGTGGTCTCCAGGAGTTGCTGAATTACAGCTCACTACAGCTCTTGAAATGCAGGATAGCTTGAAAAAGAGTGCATGCTGCTGAACTTGTATGAATTGGCCAGTACTCTTTTTTTTTTTAAAAAAAAAATTATTTTTAACCAACAAGACAAAACAGAACAAAGCAAAACATAACACACATACACACACAATATATACTCCTTTTTTTTACAGCAATTACGTAACGGTAATCTAATATTTACATTTCCCCCTTATTCTTTAAATATTTGTCCTTATAGCCCCATTATTTCTTATTTACATTTTTCTTCCTTCATGTTCTACTTCTTACTAAGAATAATTCATATTATTATTATTATTATACATTATTGTACACATATTTTCACTTTTGACCTTTCCATATTTATTCTCCTCTATTATTTCTAGTCTCCAACCAGACATACACCTTGTTCCATACTATATAATACTCTGTGTCTTCCTTTTCTTTTATCTCTTTTGTTAATTTGTCCATCTCAGCACAGTCCAGGATTTTTCTTATTACTTCTTCCTCTGATGTATATTCTCATTTTTCCAGCACTGTGCATATGCTATTCTTGCCGCCGTTATTATATGTAAAATTAAGTACCATATTTCTTTACTATATTTTTTATTTAAAATACCCAACAAAAAGATCTCTGGTTTCCAGTCTACAGGTTGGTCTATTATTTCTTGGATCCATTTTCTTATTGTAGACCAATATTTTTTTGCAACTGGGCATGTCCACCATAGATGATAATATGTTCCATGTACTTTTTTACATTTCCAACATGTTGGCGAATTATTCTGGAACATCTGGCCAGTACTCTTATTTGTTGGAGAAAAGCTCTTTCATTAGCTGAAGATCAAGAAGAAAATACATAAATAACTCATATCTGATATAAAATAGGAATTTTGTCTGGAGTTTGAAAAGGCTTAAGGCTACAAATATATATTGCTTGAAAGTAAAATCAGACGGATTTACATTTGAAGATATTTTTATAGGCTTGCAATGAAAATGAGAAAAGTAAAGAGCACTGGAATCAGATTCATTTCTGTTTTTATTATAACCCAGTAGAATATTGGAAAGAAATTGTATAAAGTTGTTAGTCATCACCTTACTTTATCCCAGCTGCTCTTTTATGACTGTTAAGTGAACACTTTTCTCACTAGATCTTCATCCAAGCTTTGACAGATGTATTGATATTTATGAGCATGATCAGAAAGATACTTACTTTGTTTTCATATTATGGTTACTCAGAAAATTGTATCTCCATATCATTCATTGTATGAATCCCTTTTTAAGAAAAATATCCAGGCGTGACAAAATAACAGCAGTCTGAACAGAGCATTAATGTAATGCTGTATGATCTGGAACCAAGTCTTGTCAATTTTTCATCTCTGCATTAAAGAAGGTATAAACTGCAGAAGTGAACTAAGATGAAATCTCTCATGAGTTGAGATCAATCCCTGTTAATTATGTGGACATAATTTATCTTGATGACAAGATAAGAGTAATTTACCACTGCTTTCTTCTAAAGTTATTTTTTAATCTTATCAGTGTAGTTTGGAGCTTTGGGATTTTTTTAATGACCCCTGATCCAATATAAATTGATTGATTGATTATGTGCCATAAGGTTGATGTCTACTCTGAAAAACCATATACATAGATTTTATCCATAATAAGCTTTCTCCAACCAGATCTTTCAGGTTCTCGGTAGTGCCCTATTGCCACTCAATTGACACTATCCATCTTGCTGCTTCTTCTCTATATTTCTATTTTTCTAGGCATTATAGACTTCAAATACTAATTTATTAATTCAAATATTAATCAAATACATACCTTCCTAGCCTTAGTTCTGCCACTCTTTATGAACTAAATATGTATTGTTTTATTTCTAGTTAAAACAAACTCTTCACAAATCTTAAGTAAATGAACCTGTAGAAGAAAAAAAGGCAGATAAAATAAAAATTGAAAAATGGCTCTTTAAAGGCATATCAGGATTTCAAGTATTATTATTAATTAGATTTTTATCCCACCACTAAAGCAAACAAGCTCTCTGATCATCTTGCAAATCTGGTAGGTAGGTAGGTAGGTGGGTGAATGGATGGATGGATTAGGATTAGGATTAGGATTCTTTATTGGCCAAGAATGAATTGACACATAAGGGTTAGATAGATGATAGACAGACAGACAGATAGGATCCCTTCTGGCAGTAACCATCTAAAGTTTACACCTTTTCCATTAACTTTGTTGTCAAAAAGTAATATTGTTTTCGAGTGTCCCTTGTTCGCTTAGGAATCTGCTTCAACACCACAATTTTTTTGTTTTTGTATTATAATGGGTCATCTCTAACTCTTCTCAGTATCTCATCTCTTATTGTTTCCTTTACAAATCTTACATGAATTTCTCTAGGCAATTTGATATTTCCTCACATACCTTGAATTCATTCGAAATATTTCATCAATTTCCATTTATATCTCTGCTCTTATCTGTTTTTAGAGCCTCCGCCAGTAGATCAATAATCACTTCTGCTATATCTGCAGGTATATTCTGAAATCTTAAATAGTGTACAACTTTCTCCATTTCCAAGGCTGCAACTACTCCTTCTAAACTTTGATTTCCTTGTTCTAGCCTTTCATTTTCTTCCATTAATCCCTCCATTTTTTTATCCTTTTCTTCTGATTTATCTTCCATTTTCTGAATTTTTTGTTCATTTTTGGCAATCATTTGTTGATGGGCATCAACCTGTGTCTTTATATCAAACATTTGCTCATTTAGCTTATTTAAGTTGTTTTTTGTCTCTTCCTGATTTTTCTGCATTGTTTCTTGAATTAGCTAAAGCATGGCTTGCATCTCTTTTTGAAAATTATTTGTTTTTTCTCATTGTAACATTGTTTCAATAGATTCCTGACTTGCTGGGCTAGATGTTCCAGAAGAGGGTGCAGAAGAGGTTTTTTTCGTGATTTTCATGAGATTTGGTGCACTCATTTTTCAATTGAGCAGGTTTGTAGATCCACAAAGAGAAAAGGAAAAAGGAAAAAAAAAGCCAACTACCTTAGGCTATAATCCAACTGTGAAACAAGCCAACTGCTTTAGGCTAATCCAAATGTTCCAATTAGTTTAAAGATGTAAAAAGCCCTCTATTTCCAAATAGTTTCTATTATGGTTATATCCAGGATCAAACGATATGATTGTAGAAGGTCTTTTCTAGCATAGAGTCACGTATAGTTCTTTTTGTTTACAGCAAATGTTAATTCAAGGTCAGCAACTTTTCCAATTCTTTTGATGTTATTGTAGTATCTCCTCTCACCACTAGATGTCCTTATTTACTGTATTGTCTATATCCAGTTTTAAAAGTTCATTTTAAAATGCTTTCTCACAGAAAATAAATTTTAAAAAATTCCACGTTGTAAAGGTTAGCCAAATTTTCTTTAAATCAGTCACAGTTTCATTTTTATATATTCTTTCGTATTCCTTAATTTTGTTCCCCCATTTAAAATTTTTTGCCGCTTTTGACTCCCTTCTTCCCAAGTCTTCCTGGAGTCTTTGCTTTGAAAATTTATCCAATTAGGGGATTTTTATTTCTAAGTCCACAGGGAAGAGAAATAAGAAACAATCTCATCCAGATCTCAGCACATTGCTGACAATCAGCTGTTCGGCAGCATGCCGCAACTCTTCACTTTTTTCCCAGTTGTCTGCATTTACAAGCAGCCTTTCTTCCATCTATTTGAAGAGGTTCCTCAATTCATTTGGGCTGATTGCCATCGGCTCCAAGCTTCCAAGGCTTCCCTTCCTCTTCGTTGCCTCTGCAAGACAACTTTCCGACCCCTTGGGGTCTCCAGACGGAGCAAAATCAGGCTAGGAAACCAGAGCCCCAATTTCTTTTATCATCATGACACCAAACTGGAATAAACTGTGGTCATGCTTCTTACGTTTCACATTGCTATTGTAATTCTGTCTTTGCAGCTTCTGATTTTCTTTTCCTATATGTCAATGTCAGCAATTAGATGCCCCAAAGCTTTAATCTAGGCACATCATAACTATCATTACTACTATAAAAGATCCTCAGCTCTTCATCAATAGCATGTAGAGTGTGATCCAACTTGAGGGTCCCGTCATTCAGCAATATATTATCAATAATTTTATATTTTCTTTCCATGTGATTTTCTTGGAAAATGTACAGGAATGTTTTACTGTTACCTTCGCCTGCACAGTCCCAAAGGTGTGTTTTCCAAAAAGCAACTGAATTTCTTTTTTTTTTTTTCCTAACTTCAATTAGAACTGAAGAATCTTCTTGGACATCTCATTTTTTTCAAAGAAAAAAAAAAAGAAAGTCCAGTTTCTTTGGAAAAATCATCTGTGGGACAACCATGACCTGGATAGAATAGAATTCTTTATTGGTCAAGTGTGATTGGACACACAAAGAATTTGTCTTTAGTGCATAAGCTCTCAGTGTACATACAAGCAACAAGTGATAAATCATAATCATAAAATACAGTCATCACAAATCATAAAAAACAATATTCAGTGATAGTCATAGGATACTACATAAGCAATCAACATAAATCAGAATAGGATACTAATAAAAGCAACATAAATCATAAGATACAAAGTTATGGTCATAAGGAGCAAAGGAAATAGGATGGTTGAGAATCTCCATAGACATCTCCTGCACAGTATTAATTGATACTTTTGGCATTATTATTTAAGTGATCATCTGCCTCCAGAATCTCCCAATATTGCTGCCTAATTATTTTAAC